TCTCTCTCTCTCTCTCTCTCTCTCTCTCTCTCTCTCTCTCTCCTCTCCTTTATGTTCTCCCGGCACGGCCCTGCGGTAGAAGGGAAGGGAGCAACCTCGTGTGTTTTTATTGTAGCTCGGCGCGACTAGTGAAACTTGGATCCCCCCCTTTGTTAACATTGCACGAGCCCTCGTCAGGAACGGAGAGGGGGAGGGGGGATGCCTTGCCTACAGCAGCGCGGGTAGGGTACTACCCCCTCTCCCCCTTCCCCCAGCTCCAACATCCCCCAACCCCCACCCCACTGCGCTGTCAAATTACCCCTACCCCCTCCCCCTCTCTACCACCACTCCGCGGACACCGACAGTAGTAGAGTCGTTTCCAAATTGTACTCACACTATCCTCCTCATCACTCACTACTTTGCCTCTGTGCGACGACTACCGGAAGAGAAATAACATTTTGAAACACACAGAGGAGGTATCTCTCCATATTTAGAGTGACAACAAAGGTAGCCAAAGTGTGTGTGTGTGTGTGTGTGTGTGTGTGTGTGCAAACCGATCACATGACACGCTGCGTGTGTGCGTGCGCGTGCGTGCGCTGAGCGCTGCTCTGTGTATCGCGCACACCAAAGGCGAGAGCGAGTGGAGGCTCATCTCCATTTTCACTGGGTGCTCCCGCGCCCGGGGTGCCGGGGCCTGGGCAGGTTAAATGATTTTGACGATGTGGCGTGGCGTGGCGTGGCGGGGCGTTGTGTGGCCACACTACCCCAGCAGGCCCGGCGGTGGTGGTGCTGGTGCTGGGCCGCGCGCGAGCGGTGGCGGGCTCTGCGAGGCTCAGCGCCGCGGAATAGGCGTTTTGTAAGCCGGGCTTTCGACGCGGGCGCGATTGGCCGTATAGGCGGCGTGGACGTGGCTCCTCCCCACCGCTCTCGTCCTCCCTCCTCTCTCTCTCTCTCTCTCTCCAGTGCCCTCTCTCCAGCGATACCCCTCCCCCGCCCGACCTTTCACCAGAGAGGGGCTCTCAGAAGAGGCTCTTGATTGCGTAAAGTGCCAGCCGATCCATGCACATTTTTGCTCTTCTCCGTGCCTTCTATCTCGTTCCAATATACTCCCCCCCCCCCTCTCCTGGCTTCGATTTCCCAACCTGTGCGTGTCGATGCGGGTGCTCCTGCCGGACCCTCTCCTCTGCATCACCCCGCAGTATGCGACCCTCGACACCGTACCTGTTCGCTCCACGGGGCCTATTTCTTTTTAGACAGTCCCCGAGACCGTTTTTACACCCAGAAAACCATTTAGTTGATACAACTAAATCAGGGTTGTAAGAACCAAAATTTCGTTCCTAAAACCGACTAAAATTTAGTAACCCTATTTTTAACTAAATATAGTCGCACCAATCAAATTAAGTCATCTAGACCAAATTATTTCATCACCACGAATAAAATTTTAGTCCCAAGAGCTAAAATTTCGTTGGTTTTGAATTTGGTTATGGACTAAACGGTCTTCTGGATGTACCAGAAGCAAACTATACCCCCTCTTTTCTCGCTCTTCTCGTTTCTTGCACCTGCACCACCACCACCGCCCCAAAAAACCTCGGTTAGATCGTCGTGCTAAATACACAAAACAATGTGTATACCAAACGAGCACATTTCTTTCCGCTTTTGGCTAAGTTCAAACTATACTAAAAAGTGTTGTGCTGTGCTACACTATCCGACGAAGCCAAGTTTCAAGTCTAAGAAGTTTGTGAAACAGGTTGCTGCCACCCTCAACTTAGAATGTCTTCAAGCAAAGGCTAAGAGAAGTAACAAATCTAAATGAAAAATTAAATTGTAATATGGTTGCTCAATGAAATGAGCAGCAATGACAAAATATGTAAGCAAACTCAGCTGAAAAAGGCATTGCGTTCTACTAGTTTTGTTTCAGTGTCACCTTATTGTGGTCGACTCCCGTTCTGAGGAGTCAGCAGCGGGAACACACTTGCGGCACGTCCCAGGTAGGATCACATCCTCTGGTAATTACACTGCCTCGTGAGAGGCAGGGGATGGGAATGGGGGCGGCGAGGGAGGGAGAGAGAGAGGGGGAGCGGAAGGGAGAGCTCAGGAACAGCGGTAATAACACAGTCTTCACTTTTTCTTCAAGAAGTGTTCCCTTATTCGGAGCAACTCTCAACAAAGTCTTTCTTTTTAGTTTTTCAATTGTGCACTCTGTGCTGGTTTCAGCAAAGTTCATTTTTGAACACAATTTTTTTGTTGCTATAAACATGCACAGTTAAAAGCATAGCAAGTTGGCAAATCCGTTGCAATTGCAAGGCATTCTGCCTTCCGACTTCAAAGGATTGCATCGTTGAGAACGACAACAAAATAGGGTAAAGGTACCCTATCTTTTACAAATTTTATAAGATTCGCCCCTTTCCCCACCCGACCCACAGCTCCCCTCGCGTACATTTTCCTTTGCTTGTCACGTTTCTCAACTCTGCACCACCGGAACCGCTCAAGGCTGTTGGCTTCCTGCACGAATCTGGTTAAACCACAACAGTTTTTTTTCCCCTCCTCGACCGATCAGTAGGGTGCCCCCGCTCTCTCTCACCCCCCCCCCT